GTTGTGGCTGGCATTACTTGGGAACTGGGGGTTCAGTCTGGGAAGATTCTTGCTTGAGGTGGGAGCTAATAAACATTGCTGGGCTGGATTTACATGGTCTCTTGGAGTTCCTTGGGCTAGGCCTGACATAAAGCATAGAAGTCGGCTGGATGATTTTGGGCCAGTCACTCTCAGCTCAACCTACTTCACAGGGTTATTGTGTAGAAATAGGCAGGAGAATTATGTATGCCATCTTGAATTGTACAAAATAAAGACAGGATATACACTTGTGTGTGTGTGTGTGTGTGTTTTAAAATCTAATGTTAAAAGAAACCCCAACTTCAGATGTGCAAAATTATAGTACATAAAGAGTTTCCAAATTAAAGTTAGTATCAGACTTACTTTAGATATGAAGTTGTTTTCCACAGTGACGCATACTCCCAAAACTTCATCTGCCAGTCTTCTAACGAAGAAATTGATTATAATTTCCAGTGGAGGTATAGAATATCATAGCAGCTGTTATTATATATAAACCAACCCAGTATATTTTATAGTGATATACAGCTTGATGATACTTAACAGGAAAACACCTGGCAAGAACAGAAAGTGAATATTTAAAATCAGTATCAACCTGTGATGAATCATCTTCCAGAATTGCTGAGTTTTGTGGCATGGCCACAGTTATGAAAGGGTGATCCAACCTAGTTATTACATTTCCAAAAAATTTTTGAATATGTATTATCTGTGGTGGCAATCAACTCTGGAGTAATGTGAAAAAAAATCCTATCTCAGTTTTCTCTGACTTTACTATGCACATAGGATTAGATATTTGTCTTTCATTGAGATTCTCACAGTTGCACATCAATTGTCCTGTTTAGATTCTGCATCCATTTAATCCTGCAGCCTTTGTCTTCTTCAGTTTCTGAATTGTATTTTAATACCAATCAGATATAAGCCCTAGCAGATGTTCTGAGTTTGGTCTGATAAGGATTTAAAATATGATAAAACCTCTACATTTGCCGTCTTTTTTTTTTTTTAGCTCTTTTTGAATTATACTACTTATTTGAAGATATTAAAACTAATGAGGTGTTTTGGACCATTCCAAGGAGGGAGTCTCAAAAGATTTCATCTTTGCTTGATTAAACGTTAAATCTTGCAGTCTATAGGAATAATTATCCCTAATAATTAGCCAATCAATTTTTAGCATGTTTTCCTTCATGAAAATAAATAATGTTTAAGCAAGTCACATTGAAACCTGGGCTTACTCTTCTTTTATATTTATCCCATAGTTTTAATAAGCAATTTATAATTAAGTGACCTCTTATGCACTGAGTACTTCTATTTGTATCACAGTATTTATGCAGGCCTTCTGAAAGTCCTGTTCCTTCCATAGGAATAAACCAACATATGGTGATATAATCCAATCTG